TATTTTCTTTTAAGAACTCTTCCCTAGGTTTCATTTACAAAATTTAAAGTTAACTTACTCCATGTAAATTCAAATTCGTCCAATTTAATATATTTTAGACGTAAGTCATCCATTTTCAGAACAATTACTCCTGAGCAGAAACACTTGGTTCCTTCCATGTGAGGACTTGGAATCTGGGAGGGAGCCAAAAGCACCAAAATACCCACTTACAGTCTGCAGACCAGTGGTGTGATGGGGTCCACACAACGTGCGATGAGATGCCTAATAGTGCCAGGGGGCGGGGGGGGGGGGCGTCAAAAACAAACCTCACCGAGAAGCTTCCCTTCAGCAGCTCTCAGCGCAGGGACAAGGTCTCCCGATGGGCACCCCATGCAGGCGGGCCGCGGGTACACTGTTCTACTGGAGCATCGGGTCAGACGGGCACCTTGGCCAGTTCACCCCCCTCACTCCTGGCAACTTTGTTATGAATAGAGCAGAGCCTCCTTTTACTCTCAAATACATAGTGTGGATAAAAATCATACGGTCACCCTATGTGGCAAGTTCTCTGACCTCCTCCCCTCCACAGCCGGGGTCTCTGGGGTCACTGCCTTCCTCCCTGGGGCCAGGGGTCTTCCAGCTGCTTCAACCAACAGAGCCAGGCAGAAGCAACACTGTGACTGCCAAGCCCAGGACCCTCTGCCTGGGACACTCTCCCTGGAAACCCAGTAGCCACATGCAGAGGTGCCACGCAGGAGCCACAGTCCACAGGCCCAGCTGAGCCTAACCCTTCTAGTCACCCACACAGTGTGGGCTTCTCAGGCAAGGCCCTTGGCAGCAAGGGGCAGAGACAAGCGCCCCCCCAGCCCATGCCCTGGCCTGTCAGGACCCACAGAATCCACACACAACAGCTGCTGTGCAGAGCCAGAGGCTTAGGGGGTGGCTTGTCCACGACAGACACAACTCCCTCCTTAGGATCCGTGTGAGGGACTGAAATCTCACCCTGCGGGCACCACCCTGGCAGCAGTGTGCGGGACACATGGGGAGGCCACTCTCAACGTCCGGGAAGCTGAGGTGGGGCGCCTAGACCAGGGCAGACGGTCTGTAGGGGGAGGGAGGCTGGACAGGCAATGGCAGGAAACAGAACTGACAGCACCTGGTGACCACTTAAACGCTCTTTGGTCTCATTCACTGATAAATAATAAGAATTTAAAATACGAGGAAAGGCCCCAAATGCTCTCACACATGAACATCCTTCATTTGTCAAATTCCTTACAAAGTCTAAGTAAGACAAAAGAACAAGTAGTGAAGACTTCCCAGGACAACTGTCACTGACACAGCCCGCCACTGGGCATGGGCAGATGGTGACAGTCCCCCATGGTCCCCACCCCACAGAGGGGACCAGCCCCGAGGCCAGGCTGCAGGCCACTGTCTGGACCAAAGGGGACCCAATACCCCATCTTTTATGGGTTCAAGGTGGGTTCTTTTTTTTTTTATGGTACGCAGGCCTCTCACTGTTGTGGCCTCTCCCGTTGCGGAGCACAGGCTCTGGACGCGCAGGCTCAGCGGCCATGGCTCAAGGGCCCAGCCGCTCCGCAGCATGTGGGATCTTCCCGGACCAGGGAATGAACCCACGTCCCCTACATCGGCAGGCGGACTCTCAACCACTGCGCCACCAGGGAAGCCCAAGGTGGGTTCTTTTTATCCCTACACTTTTCCTGACCTTGAAGCCCACAGGATTTCCCAGGGGCGGGGGTGCTCTGTACGCACAAAGGCAAAGGCCACAGGAGTTACAGACTCTCCCATGAACAGACTCAGAAGGGCTAAAGGGATGAAAAGGAACAAAAATCACAGAGGGCCAGGGCTTTGATTTTGTTTCTTAGTCTGTTTTTCCACGTAAAGTAGGGCCGCCTTCACTGCCCTTCCCTCCTGAGAGCACACGGTCCAACCCGGCATGTGCAGAGAGCAGTGACCCCCAGCAACGGGAGGAAGCGGCCGACAGAAACGCTCTCATCTTCAGGTGGTCAGGAGGATCCATCAGCCGGGCCACTAAATGGGGAGTGTACCCCATTTTTCATGGAAGCATAAAACATGAGCCAACTGAAAACCACCAGCCGGAAGCACACACTCCATACAAGCCATCACACCACAGAGAGACCAGACCACATAGCACACCCATCTGAGGAGAGATGACCGCCAGGTCTGTTCCTGTTTTTCTAGAAACCAGCACAGCACAAAGTGCAAACAAATGCATTTCTCAGTAATCACTCTAAACCACCACACCTTCCGATCACTACCCACCCAAGCCAGCTCTTCTGCACCATGCAACCAGCTTCCCTCCCCAGGGCATGTTCTCCAGCCATAAATCACAGGCTGTCGGCTGTTGAGAGCAAGTCCGCCCGGCTGCCAAGCAGGAGATGCTGGTCTGAGGCCCCTGAAGGCACCACTGAGTCAAGGACAAGAAAAGCAGCTCCACCCTAGGCCCTGGGAGAAAGGGGCCCACACCACACGGCTCAGGGGTGCCACTTACTAGCACCCAAGAATTACCCTGTGAGCTGATGAGCACTGGCACTGAGCGGCACCTCACTGCATGACGGCCCCATTCCCAGTCCCTCAGAAAGACGTGACATCACAAACACACCAACCAGCAGACAGGATGGGGCTCAGGCAGGACAAGCTCCCCCGTTCTGTGCTCCTGAGTCCTGCCCCAGGGCAACAGAGGGGACCACGCCCCAGTATCACAGCTGTTCCTGGATGTGCACACACGAAGGGAACAAAACGTAAACAGAAAGGACCATCAGCACTGACACAACAGTTTCAGGCTGGACGCCACTCCAGAGCTTGACTGATGGTCCTTGCTGGAGCCACAGAGCCGAGCCAGGACCAAACCTTCCATGGAAGGCAACAGAGCCCAACAGCTTGGCGCCCTCTGAGTAACACCCAAGGGCGCTATACAGACGAATTCTCTTAACTCACGCTCCAGGCCCCCCTTCCCTGCAGGTCAGAGGAGAAGAACCCCACCACCTGCACCACCCTCCATCCCGACACACACACACACACACACACACACACACACACACACACACACACTACTGGCTTGCAAAAATAAAAGGGAGGGGGAGGGCCACCACCACCCCAAGAAATGACAGTAACCTGAAACTGTACAGGGGATCACCAAGAAATACAGGAGGACAACTGGCCTGAAGGCCATGCCCACCAGACTGTGCTCAGGACCAGGCCTGAGGGAGGGGAGGGGCAAGCCAGCCCAACCAGAGGCACCTCCCACCCCAAGAAGAAGCAAGACATCTGTTCTCTCGAGAGGGTGCCTGGTTTACTTCCTCAGGACTGCATACACTAAGGGGAAAACAAAAAACTTCCAAATGTGGAAAAATTTTAGTTGTTGAAATTGAGTTTTCAATGGCTAGGATAAACAGGTGATTATTACCAGCTAGGACCCAGAATGAAAAAATACAATTCTGATAAAATACACTTATATCAAGTAAACTATAAAGGATTTTAAGTACACAAATATGTAAATAAAAATTAACTTCAAAAAGAAATGTTTAAATGATCAAAATAATCACATTAGTTTTATCTTCCCATTATGTGTTAAATCTTTTCCTAACCTAACAGTGAAATCCCAATCGTAAACACACACCTTCACAGGAGGGGAGACGGCCGGCCCGCCCCACCCCAGTCACTGACGGCAGCTTCCTGCGTCCTGTCTGGAAGATGAGGCTGCACGGCGCACAAGAGCCCAGAGGACACTTGACGACTGTGACCTCCTGTTTTCAGATGTCAATCTGCTCATAACGACGTATTCCACCACCTTATTATTTCCCAGCTTCCTCAAATGTTCTAAACAGTCCCCGCGGAAGTCAGGATCCTAATAACAAGCTGCATTAAGATGTTCCCGTTTAAATGACCCCTCCTAGACCCTAGCGTTTGGGCTGCCTGTGGTCCTACTACACAGAGGGGCCCAGCTTTCCAGGGCAGGGGGCGGATGACTGGGAGGCCACTCGGGGTGGCCCTCGTCCAGCCCACCCACCCCAAGACAGCGTGGTCAGACTCTACAAACCATGAGCAACCACACAAAGGTACAGGCACAAGCAGGCTTTCTACCGCCCCGATACAGGAATTTCAAACACCATGTAGCAAAAAAAGCTAAAAGCTCTTCCCTTAAAAGGGTCAGAATCAGTCTGAAGGGCAGCAAAGATGCTGCCCCACCTCGACCTCCACTACGGGAAGAGCAAGCCTGAGGATGGCAAAGACCTGCAGGAACAATCTTGGAGGGAGAGCCAGACCAGTCGACTCCAGTCCCTCCCGAACATGCCCTGTTAGGACCACTTACTCAGTGCTAATGATTCTTCAGATAAAAGTCAATTCTCAGTCGATTCACAAGTACCAAAAACACTGATCATACATCTCCTATTTGCCTAACAAAGTGACGTGTAAAGGATGCAAAAGGCATAATTCCTGCCACAGAAACTTAGAAATGATCAACATAAAGCCTGCAGTTCCCAGAGCAGAGGTCAGAGGAGGAGGCTGTGACACACAGGGGAGCGTCCCGAGAAGAGCTGGCTCAGACGCAGGAAGTGGCAGGGGTCGTGCTCTGGTGCCAAGCCCAGGGGGAGGAGGGGGCTCTGTGCGGAAGTGAGACAAGAGGAGACACAAGGAGGAAAGGGAGGAAGAACCTCGCCTGGGACCAGATGGGCAGAGCTGAGCCCACTGACGGGCTTTGACAGGGCAGGCGACCTGGGCAGCAGAAAGCAGCATGGGACCCAGAACACCCAGAGGCGGTTGTCACTGCCCAGAGGGACCCTCCAGACTGGGCCAGCCCCTGAATGGAGGGAGGGCAGCAGCAGGCAGATGGCCGAGAGGACCCTGGACAGCGTGGAGGATGGGCCAGGGAAGCGGCCAGCACAGCCCAGGGAGCACCGAACCAGTAAAGAAGGGCGGGGCCGCGGAGACGCCTCAAGCCACCTCCCCACCTTGGGGCTCGGCCCTGGACTTAGCCTGTGAGAGCACAGCCAGCGCCGGCCAGCTTCCTCCTCTGCGGCTGGGTCTCACTCGCAACTCAGGCAGGAGGAGGGGAAAGCCACAGTGCGGAGCCTGAAGCACAGCAGGTGCACAGAACCAGGGCTCTGGGACCAAGGACAGAAACCAAGGACTAAGGTCAGTGGAGAGTCGGGCACAGACAGAGCCTGAGGGACCCCTGCGCTGGAGGGAAGGTGAGGGTGGCCAGGCAGCCAGGTAAGTGGGGGCTACGAGGTGGGGCACCACGGTGGAGGGACACTGGCCAAGCAGTCTGCATTTGTCTCACAGAGCACAGCGCTCTGTGTCTGTCTCTCATCCAAGAGGCAAAGGCACTGCGATGGCTAAGCCACTTCCCGTGCAAGCGTGGGCCCAGGCTGGCTGCCTGCAAGCACACACCTGTCCAGCAGGACACGTCATCCCATCACACAGCAGGTGTACAAACCAGGCCGCCGGTGAACGGAGACAAGCCTCACACAGTGCGTGTTCTAACAAGACCCGTGCACTGGGCAGCCCGCCATGCATAAAACAGAGTCACGTGAGATTAAAGCAGCCTCAGAGTTGGCTGCTCCACATCTTAGACCCCCAAGGAAACTGAAGATGCCTTATTTCACCTGAATCCTATAGGAGCACATGAACATTACATAAACATCCACACCCTGAAAATGGTCACATTCAAATGGTTCTACCACGTTTTCCTCCACCGGAAACGCTGCCCCAGGCAAGTGCTATGACTAAAAAGCCCAGTTTGGTTAATTTGTCCTCTGGCCAAACAACTTTAATGAAACCACAGGGTGCCGGTTCCAAAGAATCCTGAAAGAAGAGGAATCAAAGCCACATGAGAAATGTTCTGGGTAAGCAAGTGCCTTCTCTTCAAGTTCAGGGGTGAGCTCACGCCACGCTCTGAGGCCAGAGGCCTGCTGCTTCCCTTCCACAGACGGGGGCATGGAGAGGGGCTGCCTCCGCTGGGATCTCAGGTGCTGCTGTAGGACCCGCTCCTCCCTGGGGGACAGAGCCAACCACGTCTGGAGTCTGGGGCGCGCATCCGGGGTGCAGCCTGCCCGTCCGAGGGTGCGGGCCACCTGCTCGACAGCCACCCTGACCCGGACACGAGGCTCCTCCACGTCCTTAAACCACGTGCCAAAGCAGGGCCCCCGCCCTCCCCACAAGGGGCTCAGGCTGTGGGACTGTGGGCATCTGCCGTCTTCACTTCCCTGCTCTTTAATCTTGTTTGTGACTGCTTTACCCTTTAACAAGGTGTACTTGTGACAGTGACAGAACGGACAGAAGAACCCTCACTGTGAAGGGGGGACAACCCCAGCAGCTGGCAAACAGAATGGCGCGCCCCCGTCTGCTGCCCGCCCTCGGGAAGCACACAGAGCCACCTGTCAGTCAGTCTCTAATCTGAGGAGCCAGAGCGGAGACAGCATGCCTGCCAGTGTGAGCGGAGCGCAGCAAGTTCAAATGGCCACCAGCCTCAATTTTTAATATTGTGTTTCCCTTCCTTGAATTTCCTAGATTTCCATTAATCCTAATGCTTAAAGAGGGACTAAACCAAAGGGTGTTTCAAAGATCTACAGTAAAGAGGCCTTCCAACGAAATGAAGTTGCCAAACACTTATTTCCCTGCCAGAGGGTTAAAAATCATCCCTGCAAGAGGAATAGGCTTCAAGGGAAATAAAAATGAAGCGCCAGTTTCGATGGTACTCGTTACGAGTCCACCTGTTTCGCCTAACCCACACTAATGAGCAGGTGGATAGAATGAAGCCAAGTGCATCGAAGGAGGCAGACGCAATCCTGAAGCACAGCACACCTGCAGGTTTCATCATGCACAGGGGACACCCAGCCTCCCTGTTCAGGTCTGACAAGCTCATGGCGAAACCGCTCCCGCCTGGGAGAGTTCAGCACCAACACTGTCTCCTCCTGCCCAGGCGGCAGTAGCAGCAATTAAACCAAATTTCTCCTTCAAAAAAAAGGAAAGGAAAGAACGTGCATGATTCCAGAAAGACCTGGGTTTTCCAGAGGAAGCACTGGGCTTCTGAAGGCTCCAGAAGGATGTGCCTGCCTTGGGAGCTGTGGGAGGGCCAGGCCTCCCCTCCCCTGGCAGGGCTCTTACACCAGGTGATACCCTCACTGAGGGCGCATCTCCCCGACAGCTCCGGGGTGCGGCTGCCAAAGGGCCTCGGCCCCGCAGGGCTTCCTCCTCTGGGCCAACAAGCGGGCAGGGACACAGGGTTCAACTTTGCTAAACCTTTGGGAAAATCATTTTATTCCTCAAGACGAAGAGAAAATGGAGGCCTTCTCTCCTCCTGAGTGTCAAATGGGGAGATGTCCCAATAAAAAGCACTTCCCCACTCATGGCCAGTGAAGGGGCCAGCAGGAGGGCAGCAGCGGGCTTGCCAACGCCTGTGCCCCACCCGGGGAAGAAGGAACAGAACTTGGGAACAGGGTTTCCCTGGTGGCACAGTGGTTAAGAATCCGCCTGCCAATGCAGGGGACACAGGTTCGAGCCCTGGTCTGGGAAGATCCCACATGCCGCACAGCAACTAAGCCTGTGCACCACAACTACTAAGCCTCAGCTCTAGAGCCCGCGAGCCACAGCTACTGAAGCCCGGGCGCCTAGAGTCCGTGCTCTGCAACAAGAGAAGCCACCGCAGTGAGAAGTCCTCACACCGCAATGAAAAGTAGCCCCCGCTCGCCGCAACTAAAGCCCACACACAGCAATGAAAACCCACCATAGCCAAAAATAAAATAAGTTAAAATAAATTAATTTTTTAAAAAAGCTTGGGAACAACCTAGTGACAAGCAGTAAGAGGATCAAAAACGTTAAAAAAAAAAAAAAAAAAAGCACTGGCGCCCCCAGGACTCTCGCTGGTGGCCTGAACACACAGGCCTGCCGCTGCCAGTCCAGGCAGGGGTTACACAGGCCTCGCCAGCTGCACGCCCCAGGGGTGGTCACTGCTGGCTCCAGCCCCATGGTGGAGGCACCTGCGGCTCAGTTACCCTGACCTGAACACAGCAATGGCCTCTGGAGAGGCAGCTTCCAGGCCAGGGGGGCCCGGTAGGAGACCCCAGGAGCCTGTCAAGGACACAGATTCCAGACTGGGGGAAGGAGGTCTAAAGCAGGACAAAAGTGAGTCAGGAAGCAGCACCAGCGTCTAGGCGGGTCTACCCTGCAAGGCCAAGTGGACTGACAGGCTTGGCTGTGTTCGTCAGACCCTTGTTTCTCTGTGACCTAAGACTTCTCAATGTGACTCATACAAAAAACTAAGAATCCACTTACACTCAAACTTTCAAATAAACCATCTCAGCTGCATCCACCCATCCTTCACCAGGGCTGGATGCCCTGCACTACCTCCCTCCCCTGCCCGCCCAGGACCCCTGCAGCGATGGCCTGGTGACCAGGACCACCCACTCCCCTCTTGTCAACACTCAGCATCATTCCTGGCCAACCACCTCCAGCACTGACCCCCATCATAGCAATAAAGTCCTCCTTAAGCACCTCCCCACACATGCAGCTGGAATGAGAGCCACCTACAGGCTCAGGCTGATACCTGTGTTCCATCAATATCACAGGCGCGCCAGCCATAACAATTTTTTAAAAACCTCAGAAACACAGAAAAAATATTTAAATTATTGTTAAACTGGGGCTTCCCTGGTGGCTCAGTGGTTGAGAATCCATCTGCCAATGCAGGGGACATGGGTTCGAGCCCTGGTCCAGGAAGATCCCACATGCTGCAGAGCAACAAAGCCCGTGCGCCACAGCTTCTGAGCCTGCGCTATAGAGTCCATGAGCCACAACTGAGCCCGCATGATGCAGCTGCTGAGGCCCATGCGCCTAGAGCCCGTGCTCCACAACAAGAGAAGCCACTGCAATGAGAAGCCCGCGCACCGCAGCGAGGAGTAGCCCCTGCTAGCTGCAACTAGAGAAAGCCCGTGCACAGCAATGAAGACCCAAAGCAGCCAAAAATAAGTAAATAAATTTTAAATAAATTATTGTTAAACTTAAAAAAAAAAACCTGTTGCTACTACTGTAGCAAGGAAATTGAAAATATATGCTCAAACAAAAACTTATATACAAAATTTCAGATCAGCGTTATTCAGAGTAACTAAGAATTCCCATACAGTGGAGTATTGACCGTAAGAAGGAACAAAGCACTGACACAGGCTACAACATGGAGGAACCGTGAACACATGATGCTAAAGGAAAGAAGCCAGACTCAAAAAGTCACACTGCACATGATTCCACTGTATGAAATGTCCAGAATAAGCAAACCCAGAGAGACAGAAAGTAGATCACTGGTTGCCAGGGGCTGGGGGATGGCAGGGGAGGAACAGGGAGGGACTGCTAATGTGTGTGGGGTTTCCTTTAGGGGTGATGAGAGTATTCTGGAATTAGACAAGTGGTGATGGTTGTACCCTGTACATATACAAAATAATCACTGAACTTATATACTTTAAAAAGGTGAATTATGCGAATTACATGTCAACTTTTTAAAAACCATTGTAAGTATAACATATCACATTTATTTACAGAATGAAAGGACACATGAATAAACAGATCACCTCATCAGACTACAGGAACATGTTTTATTTTTCCAGGTTTCTTTTTAAAACGTCTTGAGATACCCTCATCATTTAAATGCCAATCCTTCCTGAAGACAATGGCATCATAAATGAAAAGACACAGATGAGAGAACATTCTAAGTGCAGGGCAGGCAGGGAGGAGGACTGTCCTCTCCGATCCTCCCACCTCCTGTCCCTCTGCCCCAGGACATCACACCAACAGCCCCACTTCCCCCAGGCCCTCACCCTTCCTACACCCCACCAGAACCTGCAACAGCCAAGGAAAGGAGATGGGATGACACCCAAGAAGATGACATCACGCTGAGTCACGGCCCAAATGCCACCATTTAAACATAGTCCAAATGCCCTGCTCTCCTCAAAGTGGGCCCTGAGCTCTCCAGCTTCAGAGACAAGGGCAAGGACGGAATCACACCCACTGCAATGAAAGAGCAAGGACCACAAGGCCCAGGGAGGGGAGCCCTGATCCCAGAGCATCAAGTGTGGCAGCCTCCCCTCCCCTGCAGAGTTTAACCAATTAAACTCAATTGATCTTTCCTCCTAGAAAAGGCACCACCAGACAAGCAAAGCAGGCAGCCAGGAAACGGTGGGAGCTCTCAGGCCAGGGGCCAGGTCTGCGCTCAGTACAGTGGTTACAAATACCCTGAGTATCTGAACAAGACCAAATTTCAAACCACCTGCCTTATTTCCTTCAAGCTGGTTCCAATCATTTTTCTCTGTAACACATCTGAGCAGCAGGAAGCTCGAGGAGGACACGCCCCTACCTGCCTGCTGGCTCCAGCTCTGCAGGCACTGGTGCCCCCTGGCGGCGATGCGCAGGGCCACCAGTCCACCCCCTTCCCCAGAGCAGAAAGCCCATCGCTAACAATGCAGGGCCGGCACTCAGTCACAGGGCCCAGTGCAAAGCAGCAGAGAAAAGAAACCGTGTTCACTGTTCTGTCGGGGTTCAACATCTCCTCCTGTGTTCCAACCACTTCCCCACGAAACCAAGGTAAACAGGGCTTGTCCCCAGGGTTCTGACAGCCCCACAAGCTGACTGCTGACCGCCCCGCACCACTGGGACAGTGTTTACCAGGGCCTGCAGCATCCCGTCCATGGTGACGACCCCCTCGATGGTCTGGAAGGAGGAGCAGGCCAAAGTGCATAGGCTCCAGTCCAGGAAACTCGCCATCTTCTTCTGCTTAACGTCGGGCCGCGTGACAAACCTGCCAAAAGGGGACAGACAGGTAGGTGACAGCTCGAGCGAGGCCCCAGCTGCCAAGAGCTCACCCTTTCCTGGCCCACTGCCACTCTCCAACCTAAGACCCTGGCTCTCAGGTGGCAATTCCCACCACCACCTCTCTGGGGTCTCACAGAGTCCCCACCCCCACACACTTCCCGCCTCCTTCCCGCCTCCTGAGCCCCCTCATCCTGAGACCCTGTGTAGCATGGGACCACCTTCACCTGAGCCCACCCACGCCCACTCTTCAGCCCAACTCTGTATCCCTTCACCTTGGGAACCCATGCTGCCACCTGCGACCTCCCTCTCTGCATCTGCCATGGGACTCCTTCCCCATCCTCTCTGCTGCACACGGCATGCAGAGCTCCAGCTGTGTCCACGGCCCCATCGTCCCCACCGCAGGCGTCTGCTCAGTGCTGCACTTCCGGAGTGCTGGCTCTCGCCCACCCTCCTGTACACTGGTCTGGGCCGGCAGCCACCCTCGGGCTCCCACACCGAAGCCCAGGCCCCCTTCACTCCTCTCTAACCAGTGCACACACCATCCCCCAGCTCTCTGACTCAGGCTGAGCCCCTGCCCTCCTGGGGGAGCTTGCAGTCTTGGGGCAGAAACACAGGAAGTAGGCGAACAATGAGAAGGAAACAGTTGAGTGAGGGGAGGGCAGCAGGCGCAGGGACAGTGTCGCAGGAGGTGACCCGTGAGGACCTCTCGCTCCCCTAGCTGGCCCCACAGACCACACCCAGAGAGGGCTCGGCACCAATAGCACAGAAACACGCCAGGTGGCACTACCCTGGGGGCAGCACTCGACATGCCTGGCTCTGTCCTCTGCACCCCTGCAGGAGCCTCCTGTCCTGACCAGAAGCCCCCACAGGCCCCTCTTCCCTCAAAACAGCCACCGCCGCCCCACGCGAGATGCTCAGCCATTGCAGGGATTACACTGCGGCCATGTAGAAGGTCTCCGTGTCAGTAAAACAAAGCTGCCACGACTGTCTTCGCCCACCCCGATCAGGGTACACACCCAGAGACTTGGTCACCGAGGATTTACCAAACTTTAGGATGCTGGTTACAAAGGCGAACTCACATGCCACCCCTGCCGGCCAAGAAGTTGCGTTACGGCGGGTCTGAGAAGAGGGCCCAGGAATTTCATAAAATCTGCACCTCAGAGTGATCATCTAAAATGGATAACTGGTATTATATACCCTATCTCAATGTCCTTGGCCCTGTTTAAAACCCCTTGATTCTGGAGGGGGCCACAGGATGAGGGTCACACCTACAGTGACCTGATCCTCAGCCTGAAGACAACAGCCGGCTGGCACTCACCCTGCATGTGGGCAGGCACAGCACCTGCAGTGGGGTGGCCCTCAGGACAGGCGAGGTCACAGGCACAGAACGGCCCACAGGGCTGGTAAGCGGCCCTGCTGGGACCCAAAGCCCAACTTGGAGACGTGAGTCACAGCGCCAGCCACTCAGGGGCCACGCACCCTGCTTCCTCCACCCACTCATCTGCTGAGCAGGCAGGAGGCTGATGTTCTGTGTGCAGCCTGTAGCGGCCAACTTCCATTCCTGGGCAAAATCACACAAGGTGAGTTTCCAAATTACAGTAAAAACCTAAGGCTCCTTTGAAAGATTTAAGCAAATAGGTTATTTTATATTTTTTATTTTTCTCTCTAAAAAAGAAAATGTTATGTTTGCAGCAGAGGTCCAAAAGTACAGATAAGCAAAAATGGAAAATACCTATCCCACAGATGTAACACACAGAACGAGACCCTTCTACACAAACTGAAAGATCTCTGAATCCTACACTTCCTTCCCTTTTAGGAAAAGTTACATCACAGACTACATCTACTTTCAATGTGGAACTCAGCTAACATGTGCAGGTGTTTAGAGACCCCACTGTCTTTCTCTCAGGAAGGTAATCTCCACAAGAGTGATCAGCAAAACCTTAACTACAGGACTAGACCTACCAGAGGGACAAAGGGCAAAACACCAGTGGGACACATTGCTGCTCCGGACCCTTGTCAGTACTGTTACCACAGAGTATCTGGTCTGAGAGTGAAACAGTACGGGTGAAGTGACAAACCCTACTTTATGTAAGAACTTACTTTGTGTGTGTTTTTAAATTAATTAATGGAAAAGTTAAATATTCACAAAATGGTGATAGAATTTAGTTACCTGTAAGAAGGAAAAAAATCTATCATATATCCTATACCAAAAGAAATTCCAAATGGATTAATAATTCTATATTAAACAATAAAAAGGTAGAAAATATAAATGATTCTTTGTAAAATCTCTTAATAGGGTAAGCCTTCAAGCATAAAAGTAAAAATAACTAAATAAATAAAAGGGAAAAAGTTACTATTTTGACATTAGAATTAAAACTTTAATCCAAAGAAGAAAGTAAAAGGCTACCAACCCACTGGAGGAAGTATCACACCCTCCTCTAGCTAACATCCTTCACAGAGAAAGCTCATACTACTGGAGAAAAAGCACCAAGAAGCCCACAGATATTAGAAATCAGGTCACTACACGGGACATACGATGTCTGAAATAAGACTAATGTGTAAAAGCTCACCAGCGATCAGTGAAATACAAACTAAATGTTAGTAATAAACAAAACAATGCACAATCCAACGGGGGGAAGAGGGTTGTTCTTGAGGCTGCCCATGACTGCAGAAGTCCTGAAAACACGCTCCCAAGAGTTACCCAGCGACAGGTGTATAGACTCAACAATGTCCTTGTGTCCTGTGACTCAGAAGTCCACCTCTAGGGGCCTGGCCTAAGAAAATAATCCCAAATACCAAAACAGGTTTACACCCAAAGCTAGTCATTACGTCATTGCTTATAAGAGGAAGGACGTGAGAAAGCTGGTCAGAGTAACTAAAAACAGTGGAATCTAAAGGAGCCATTTAATCAACGGTAACGTGAAATTAAGTGAAAAAGCAGGTGCTAACTCAAAGAGATTGTGCTGTGCAAACTCCATACAATAACAGCACAGAAAAACACCAAAAAAATACAACACGTGTATTGTGTATTATAATTATAGACGTGTGGGGTTTTCCTAATTTTCTATGTTCCAAAATTTCCAACTTTTCTACTTGGAGCATACCTTGATTTTACAGTTAGATTAAAAATATCTTTTTAAAATTAATGTAATCAATACGAATAAAGGCATATCTTTCCATGGAAGAGTTTCTGTAACATAACACGCATATCCACACGTCTTGGCGTAAATGTAACATCGAAGTTACAGAAAACGCAGCTGATGTTTAAAGGTTCCAGTTAATGAAAGGAAATAGGTGCGGCTCCAGAACTGCACATGGTAAGAGGAAGCAATCAAAGCTGACGGCAGAGAGAGTAAGACAGGCAGCTCCCTCGTGAAATATCAGAAAACAGATGCCAGTGGGGACAAAGGCCACATGTGACCACCCTTCACACCCAGGGCCTCACAGTTAACAACCCACCAAAAAAGACAGAAATATGCGAGTCAGAACCTGTCCGTGAGGTGGGATACTCAGAGCAGCTCTAGGACCTGAGGGCATCCGCCCTCTCTAGAACTGAGGAAAACTGGCTGCACCTACAACCTGGCAAACCGGCAGGAGCTGGGTGGAAAACGGGCCTCAACCTCACGAACACTTGGTCGTCCAACCACTAGATGGCGGGGGAGCATCCCTCCAGCAGTGGACAGGCAGCCAGGGTCTCCAGCTGCCGCCTTTCTGGAGGACACCAGGGAGGGAAGAAGGGTTTAGGGTTTCACCTCCCCCACCCCACAGGTGCAATACTCCACCAGGTCAAGCTCAGCAGAACTCTACCAAACCCTCAGTACTGCTGGTAATAAAAGATAATAAACAATAAAGATGTTTCATTTAACAAATTTAGTAAACATTTGTAAGATCACATGCAGTGTTGCTAAATATGGGGAAAAGGAGACTTCCGACTGGCTCAACCTTTCCAGTAGCTGCATTTAAAACCCCTAGAATGTTCATTCCACTAGGAATTCATTCCTAAGAACCAATCAGAAATCAAACAAACTCATACAAAAGATCAGACTTGTGGTTGCCAGAGGCAGGGGTGGGGAAGGGGGAACTGGAGGAAGGCAGTCAAAAAGGTACCAATTTCCAGCTGTAAGATAAATAAGTACTAGGTCTGTAACGTACACCATGATAAATATATTGAACACTGCTGTATGTTATCCATGAAAGCTGCTGAGAGTAAATCCTGGGGGGAGAGGCAATAAAGGGGTACGGGGAAAAGGGATTATTATGAGATTATATGAAATCATGTGTGCGAAACTTTTGAAAGTTGTAAAGCAGTTTAGAATTTAAAGAATCTTTCATTCAATTTTAAAAAAGGAGAGTAAATCCTAAGGGTTGTCATCCCAAGGGAAGAAATATTTTTCTGTATCTTTAATTTTGTATCTATATAAGAGATGATGGATGTTCACTAAGCCTGCTGTGATAATCATCTTATGATGTATGTAAGTCAAATCATCATGCTGCACACCTTAAACTTGCACAGTGCTGGATGTCAATTATATCTCAATAAAATTGGAAGGGGGACTTCCCTGGTGGCACAGTGGTTAAGAATCCGCCTGCCAGTGCAGGGGACACGGGTTCGACCCCTGGTCTGGGAAGATCCCAGATGCCGCGGAGCAACTAAACCCGTGTGCCACAACTACTGAGCCCGTGCCCCACAACTACTGAAGCCCACAGGCCTAGAGCCCATGCTCTACAGCAAGAGAAGCCACCACAATGAGAAGCCCACGCACCACAACAATGAGTAGCCCCCGCTCACCACAAAACTAGAGAAAAGCCTGCGCACAGCAACGAAGACTCAACGCAGCCAAAAATAAATAAATACAAAAAAAATAAAAACTGGAAAGAGAAAATACAGCCAATCAGAACAGTACAAAGTTTCATGTAGAGTGTCCCAGGCGGCGCTAATTTTACTAACAAAAAGTCCACACATACAGTGGGGTTGGAGGAAGAATAGATCACACCATAATTGCATCTGGAAGACTGACCAAAGCTCCAGGCCTGCCTGCCAGCACCTGAAACAACCCTGCAAGTGTACCCATGGGCCACAGACCAACATGCCCATGGGCAGTGGGGGACAAAGGACAGAGCAGTTACATCTCTGGGGATGACAGTACATGTGAGTTTTATTTTGTACTTTTTTACTTTTCTTTATTTTCCTGAGCACACATGATTACTTTCACAGTTAGAAAGAAAGCCACGCTTTTCCATTCCTTGTCAAAACCATGAGAAGCCTCTGTCAGTGAGTTTCTCCTCCCCCAGGGTAAGCATCGCAGGCGAGCTCAGGTGTTTCCTTCCTCACTCCTAAAATCAGCTTCTCGCATTTAGGCTCTGCCCTCTGGTTTAGCCAGTACTTTCACAAATACCTCACCAATGTCCCCAACTGCCCCATAAATCAAGCATGTCTCTTCCCGCCTTGTGCAAGGTCATGGCTACACACCTAAGAGAAGGTGACCCTGAAGGAGGCGCTGCCCTGTTTTCCCGATCAAAACATCCAAAAGCTTTTAGAGCCAATTTTTAACTTTCACAAATGTAGAGGGGCAAAAAAGCCAAATTTTCTAACTCGTTTATGCTATATACATACTTTAAATCACATGTCATGAAGAAGATTAATTTAGAAAAACTGCTTTCTTCCATTCTCACATTTCATGAAACAAGTCTACTCAGCTTTCACATGTGTCTTTGACACTTTTTTGGAGACTCCAGGCCCTGCTGCCTGGGTCATCTTACCCAGCTCATCAGATAAACCCATCTTTGCCTGTTTCAGGCACAGCCTGTTGTTTTTCGTTAACACGGGATGTTTGGGGATTTTTATCCCAAGCCACAATGACGCAATCACAGCCCATGATCTCCACAAACCATGGTGTGGACTGCTTTCTAAGTGACTTCCAAAGGCTCTTCTAACTGCCACCCCCCCTCCCCCAGAGGGGAGGCCTGGCCCCGGCGAAACTGCTACACCTGTTCTAAATCTGCGCTCCCTTGACGGGCCCACGAGCTCCTAACCCAGCGTCAGGTGACCCTGAGCCCCTAACCAGCACTGTCAGTGATCACATCAGGTTCAGAGGTTTCCTGCACCCAAACAGCATTGGGTTCCCTCAAGGAAAGCAGCAGAGTCCTCAGGACAGCAAAGACTTCCCCAAGCCTATCATCCCAACATCCTCTCTGATGACAACAGACACACACAGTAACAGACAGTAAACCTTCTCAGAAAGCACTTACTTGGACACGAGGACAGCAGCTGCGTCTTGGGCCTTGTCGCTGACGACCAGGTAGGACTACAAGGAAGCGTAAAGGACAGGCACCATTAAACACACGATGTAGACCTCAGGGACCCACTCAGCCACCTGGTCCCACACTCAGCAGCTCCACAAGAGCCCAGGCTCACGGACAGAGGCCAGATTCCAAAGCTGCACGAACCACTCATAACGTGAACTCAGGGCTGCAGCTGCCACATGTGTGCTCACCCTCAGGGAAGTGCCCAATCCTCATACAGCATGTGGCTACACCCCTTGAAACCACATTTGCAAAAGCAGCAGAAAAATGAAGAGTGTATGTTGCTACCCAGAGTGTGCACAGAACGCTCCTGGAACCCACCAGCACTCTGGCATTCACAGCAGCTAGGAGGCCCCGCTCAGACACAGGAGGGCCGAAGTTTAATGCAATAATTACACCTTAAGAGGTTTCCACTTCTCATCTCAACTGTTTTCCAAATGATACACTTAAAAGATCTATTTTCTGGAGGACAAATTGTTAGAAATTAGGTCCTCTCCCCAGGCAATCCCACTTAGGAGACAAGCACCCAAAGGGTTAACGGAACACAGCTAGAAACAATCCACCTATCTAAAAAAGACTACTTTAGAAATGAAGATACAGTGGAGCACCTTGTCCCTTAAAGACTCTGAGGGAGATGTCTACTTACTGACACAAGACATTCAGACAGTCCTGCTCAGGGGAAAAGCAGGTCCCAGAACAGCAGGACACCAGGGGCCCTAGTACACAGGGGCCGCGCGGAGCACTGTGAAGGACAGGCAGGGAGCCAAACCCTAGGTTCAAGTTTAGATCCACCGCACGTGAGAGAGTGAGCGGGCTAAGTCACTTATTTTTACACCTGTTGCCTCTTCAGTAAAATGAGGATAAAAACAGTGAACTGCCTCATTAAGTAGGATGAAAGGAGTTAATGTATGAAAAAGCCTTTAGTGGGATTGCCTGGGGAGTGTCTGGCGCACAGCAGGTGCTCAAAGAAGCTTAGTATAAGTAAGTGTCAGGGTCAGGCTCTAAGATGGGCCCTGGTCCTTCCCACCAGTGCCCACGTCCCGTGTAATCCCTCCCACGCGGTTGGAGGACACGCTGACTTGCTTCTAACCAAGAGAATTCAGCAGGGGGTGGGATGTCATTTCCATGATTGGGCCACACATGAGTGTGACAGGCA